AATGTTATCGCTAGTCAAGAGTGCAACATGATCCTCTTCAGTGGTCATATTTCTTAAATTATGAAGAACTAATTCAAATTCTCTCATTTCAGCTGACATTTTGCAGCATTAAAACTGAGAAAATATATGTGATGTATTTGCTTTATCTGGACAAGCAGGAATGTGTATTCCAGAATGACTGATGCAGTAGAACACAGCAGCGGGAGCCTCAGTATGACCTTTACCCTCCACAACCACATAATATATGTATAGTGTTACATGGAATAGTTGTGGAGGCTTACACCTTGAATTTGGATTTAAAGAATGGCCACCTTCAAATTGTACTTTTCTTAAGTATAAGTATCCATGTCCATGTCATTTCTCATATTATTTGCTTAATCCTAGCATAGCATCCTCAGTGACTGGTTATCTTCATTATGCACTGAAATTAGACCAGCATGTATCATATCTGACTTGCAAAGATGTTACTCAAAGAACTGTTATTTGCTCAGGAAGCGTGTGCAGCAGCTATGAACTACTTGTCCTCTAAGGTATTACCAGGCTCTTATCACATCCTTTACTCTAGATTCATTTTTCCTCTTTGTTCCCATTTAGGTGCTCTGTATCTGCAGCAGTGAGGGTGCAATTTTAAGCCTCTGCACACATCACTTCTGTCTGGCTCCTCTCTTACTTTCAAACCTAGTTTCACTATTGCTTAGTATTCCCTTTACGGCATAGGTTCAGTCTTTCTTGTGCAAAATAGTAGTGCAAAATGCAGCATGTTTGGCAGGTTTGCTTTGCCTGGGCTAAAGGCTAATGTTAGCAATGTTGCTAATACATGCGCATCGTAGCATGCTGAGCTTTTAACTATTTGGCAGCAAATACTGCAAAATACTGAAATAAGAAGGGGACTTTCACTCTTGTAAGAGCTTGGGTCATAATTCAGTAGAAATCAGAGGGTGAAAAGACTTAATCATCAACTTTTGATCTGATGAAAGATGTAAAAGAAATTGAGGCTAATGCTTTTTTTTTACATCATTCTCATGGAACATGGGCAGAAATGACCCAACTGCAAGCTCATAGGCAGATGGAAGTAAAGGAAAAATGAGCTGGCTGGTGTAAATCTGGAGTAGAAAATAACAAAATCCAAAAAACACAACAGAATCTTGCAAGGGAAGGTGGAAATAAAGCTGGACTATAGTGCGACTCGACAAGCAACTAAGGCAAACTGAGGCTTACACAAAGAAATGCGGCAGAGTGGATACACCAAGGTAAAAAGACAGCTGAAACTAATGAAGGAAGTAAAAGTAAATATAAGACACAAGCTAGGAAAGACTACCAAAATAAAACAGGAACTAACTGACAAAGAATCACTAACAGAGATAGGAACAAGACAAAAGTATACTGGGAAGGCTAAACTAAAACACAAGTGATGAAAATATAAATACTCAACTCTAACAAAAAAAAACAAAGTAACATACATCATGAAGAAAATGCGACCAATAAATATGCTTGGAATAAACAGAAAAGGGTGGATAAGCATATATTTAACAGTCCAAAACTCAGAGCTCTAAGGCAAAAAACTTTTACTATGACAAAATCATTCTTTTTATTTGTATTTTTTCTCCCTCTAGGTCAAGCTACAACTACAGACAGGACATTTACTGCAGTACATTCTTTGTATGGTGCATTCCTAATTCTCCCGCAGTGTTTGCTTTTGCCTCCAAGAAGTACCATATGGTAATAGAATAACTTTAGGAACAATGCACTTTTTTTACTTTGAGCCAGAGATCAATTCATGCAAAAAGATTTCATTTCAGAACATTTATTTCCATAGTTTCGGATGCTTCCTGAACCTCTGAGTTACTTTCTTCCCACTCCCTGGCCTTCTTCTGTTTTGTTTCTTTTTCCGAGTGTCTTTCCCCCGCCGGAAAGACAGTGCAGAAGATTACCAAACACAGATTGCATTGATTGCTGGGACTAATTGAAAGGAAAGCATCCCTGGTGCGAAGCGCATCTGCTTGCCTGTGCAGAAATTGGCATCTGTGCCCTACCTCACCTCATCAGGCAAAGGAGCCAAGAAACCTCGCTGCTGTCGGCCACTTAACTCAGCGCTCAATCACACTTTGGGAAGATTCCTTTTGGATGAGGTAACAGCAGACAGAGCATGTTTGGTGGGGGGGGGGGGGGGCAGAAGATACAAAACAACCCCCCCCGTTCTTGACAAGAGAGACCACGGGGGAAATCATCCACGAAGACGAATGGAAATTCAGCAGAGCAATTGATGCACTCCTCCGTTTGGCTGGGACAAGATCTGAGGGACTATAAAACACTTGTCGAGGGGGAAGTGCAAAGAGAATGAGGCCTCTGCTGTTGCTGCCTCCAATATTTTGCACAATTGTTCATCGTGCTGAATCCTCTAGATTGGCACTGATTGAGGAGCAGTGTTTAGCATACTGGGCATTTCATTACAGGCCACTTGATTTTTCAGGACAATGGCACGTTTGATTGAACGTCAGGGCAGGAAATTGTCGCAGCTTTTGAAACAACAACCAAGAAATTACAAAGTGCCACTTCCTAAATTCATGACACTAACAGTGAAAGACAGAACGGGTTTCTTTTCAGTCTGATTGACCAATTTTCCAAAGTAGAATCCTGCAGAATCCTCTGAGTCTAATGAGGTTGAGTGTTTCCCGCTTGTCTTCTCTCTCTAAATGGCACAATTGAGGAATTATGTAAAGAACCAGGTATCAGATAACATTTGGTATGTGATGAAGTATATAAAACTTTAATAATCTGATAATCCACCAGTTTACCTGTGATCAGTTCAGGGTTAATGCTTTTATAACAAACACAAACAGTAGCACATCCAGGGCCTCCCTCGTTCTTCAGCTGGGAGGGGCATGCAGTTGTCATCTTTTAGACATGTGGCCTCAGGTCTTTAGAACTCTTGGGGGCTGCAGATGGCCCGGGTATCCTGGATCTGTCTTTGTCTGCCTCTGGCTTCTGGGGTTATCAAGTATACTACACTTATTATAAGTACACTTATTATCAAGTATGTTTCCTGACAAAGATACATGCTAAGACACACACACAAACCATACTGCTGATTGGTGTATCTGTGCTTTCTCTTCTTTTGTCTTTTTCTTGTTTTTTTCTTACAGATGCAGAAGATGAGTTTTTCATTTGTGCTCTATCCTTTTAGTATATTTTCTCTCCCTTTCTTTTTTCTTTATGCCATTTTTTTCTCCTGCCTGTCAGCTTTGACATTGTCATATTACACATATACTGTGAGAGCAGAAATAACACTAATAGAAATTTATGATTAACAGAGAAAGAGAGAACAGAGAAGAAACACACAAACAAGAGGAGCCTATAGAGAATTTATAGAGCTTGGATTCTTGGAAAAGCGAATGTGTTTGGGACGACATCACATTCAGACCATAATTCTGATTGCAAAAGCTGCCAGATAAGACAGGCTAAAAAAAGGAGAGAAAAGAAAATATTTTTAACTTTGGTGCTACAAAAACACATCGGGGGGATTCTCGTAGAGACTGTGGATTCTCTCCTGATGCCACTGGCAATCACAAATGGAGGACAAGCTTATTCACACAGTTTGCGGGAAGTTTGGTTCAGCTTTTAAGAAAAAAAGGAAAGGTTTTGATAAAAGTGAGCCAAACTTCTAAAAATATATTTCTGAAAGTTCATTTTAGCTTTCGCTTGTTCTCCTTCTTGTCTCGTTCATTGTTGTTGGCTGAATATTTGCCAGTTTCCAACATGACTTGAATCATTTTTGTAAGGTAAAACTTCGCTTTGCATTGGAAAATCTAATTGAGGTTGACTAAAAAGGTAAAATCCATGATGGAAAACATTTGATTTAAAACTATGCGATATGGATGTTAAGAGATTATAACAACATTATGTCTGGTTTGCACTCTTACTTCTCAACTAACTTTGTGGCTTTATTGCGAAGCTCAATGCCATCTTAAGTGATACACAATTGGGCTTGGGATTTGTGCTATGTCATGATTTTTAATACTTAAGATAATAGCGTTGCTGCTACTCTAGCTGTTTAAACTTGTCCTCTTTCAGTTCCGCTGCTGCTTAGAACAGTCGTGCTTCGTGGCTTGTGAATTTGGGGGTTCATTTGCATGCAAATCCTATAATATGCAAAACTGCTGAATAAATGAATTACAGGCATTCGAACGTACATCACTGCAGGATTTGACAGCATCCAACCTGATGCCTTAGGTGTATTACCTATATGTACTTTTTATAACTTCTGACAGATAGTTTAGGTGCTGTGATGTGACTATAGATGCTTTGGAAGGATGCTGGCACATTTTTTTTAACAGGGCATAAAACTGACTTTGACACGTTAACTTACACATTTCAACCTTAACCCAAATGTAGCTTTGCTGGCACTGACAGCATGCTCACGTTCTCAAAGGGGCAAATAACGTATGTGCATGGAATGCTGAAGAAGGGAGACAGTGTTTGGCCATCTAGTATTTATACAGTCCTTTGGAACAGTTGATATACAGCCACAACCAAAATGTAATATATAATTGTATTAGAAAAAAAAACATTTAATGATTTTGAATTTAACTTAAATAATTTGAATAATTTATAATTGAAGAAATTACTGCACATTTTAATTGCTTCAGAGTACATTTTTATTCTGTTTTGTATTTGAGATGTAATATGAAGATATTCTATGTGTGTCCAATATGTGAAAAAAAAAACCACACACACACACAAAAAATATATGTATAGCAAAATGTATGTTTCCTTTTTTGGAAGCAGTGTTTTATTTAAGTGTAGCCCTGTCTGAAATTATTCAGGCTTACAGGGTAAAGAAAAAAAACTCTACTGTTATAAAAAATGGTTAAATTATAAATAGTTGATAAAAGGTTTAAAAATCATATGCTTTGGTACAAATGTAATTTCATTTACAGTTAAGAGTCCAATAAATAAAAGGATTTCATGATTTAGAGTTCATTTTCTGTGCAGAATAAATATGTCGGGGTGTAACCTAAGGTTATTTACCCATCTAATGTCAGTTATCTCAATGTTGTATTGTCATTGGTTGTTGTGCTGACGAGCCAGTCAATGTCACTCTTCTCTGTTATGGGGGCGGGACGAGTGGTAAAGTTTGTGTGAATCTGTGGGAGCGGACACAGAAGCTAAGTCCGAAGAGAGAGATGTCGTAAGGCAAACGTGGTGTGGATTTTGCATCTAAGTGTATCATTGAGGTCGACTACCCGTGGTCCTGATATTACTTATTTGTGATCTGCAAGAGGTAAATGAGACTGTGTGCCTTGACATTTGTACTGTAACTATTCGTTATAGTGGTAAAATGGCGTGATATGTGATGCTAACTAGCGGCTTGCTAATTAGCGCAGCTTACCGGGTTATGTGCTGTGATGCCATGCTGTATGTTTAGCTCTGTGATTTAAAGTCAAAGCATGCTAATGCTAAATCGTTATGTGATAGAATTTGGTATTGTAGCTCAAGTGTTTTAATGTGTTTAGAAGCCGATGGACGCTCTGAAAGGAGAGGGAGAGAGAGGTTTTGCCCGGATGGACCCTGCTGTTTTCTCACCCCTGGCTGTTTTCTCACCCCTGGCTGTTTTCTCACCCCTGGCTGTTTTCTCACCCCTGGCTGTTTTCTCACCCCTGGCTGTTTTCTTACCCCTGACTGTCTTCACTACTGGTGAACTAACTGCCCGTTTCTGATTGCCCCACTAACAAACTCATTGGACTCGTGAGTACTAACTGGAACTAAAGTGTACGTATTTTGTTTTATGGCTCAGTTTGAGTGAAGCGGCCATCAGTTGTAGGCCTCACCGCACCCGAACTTTGAATCAGGCCTGCAACAAGCACCGTGCTACAGGTGTAGTGTGGACAGGTTAAAGTGTGTGTGTGTGTGGGCCCACTGTTACAAATTCGGTTTAATTTGAGTAAGTGTGTAGTTTTAATCAAAGTTATAATCAAAGGTTGAAATTCATCCCTTTTAAAGGTGTGAGCTGTTGTAACTGAAATAACAGTTGGTACCTAAGAAAGCGGTATTTTGTGTGGATAATCTTTTATTTATAATCCATGTAGTCACATTTGCAGTATTTTTTTATTTTATTTTTTTTTTAAATTCAATTCATTTTATAAAAGTAACTGTTTATTTTATTCATTTCTTTTTGTCTAAATAAATACCCGGTGAGGGATAAATTTGTGTAAAATACAGTTGTGGTGGTCCTTATTAGTTAAATTAGAGGGTATCAGGTATTATTATTAGTAGCACTACAAACCCAGGCCCAGTCTCATTGTACTATATACTCTAGCTTTACCATAGCTACGTGGGACCTGGGTTACATAAGCATCACTTGAGGTTGATAAAAAGGTGGCTAGCCAGTCCACATTTGACTCCCATATGACATTATAGTGGATCAATCCTATTGATCCAATCTTATTGACAACCAATAAGTCCAATTTAAATGGCTCAAGAAACCAAACTCCCAAAATCGCAGTGCAGTAAAGAATCAATAGGATGCAAGGAGCACTAATCCACGAAGGCCATACCCTGTAACTCATGAGCTGCAAAGAGTCTGCTGCTGGAGGTCTTTTCTGGATGTCAACAATGGGTTAGTCCTGTCTATCGTCTGTCCTGTCTATACTGCAATCCCTAAGCACTAAGCTTATTATAAATAAATAAACTACTTGGCAAGTTTATACCTGCCCCTTCAGTCATGGACCATTACAGGGTGAGGCTACCAGTCATAACAAAAGACATAGGGCCAGATTTACTAACACGTTCCACCAGCTCAAGCTGGGTTTCGGCGTAAAAAAGTACAGATATTTACAAAGAGAAATTGTCAGAGTGCGACAGTGACATGATTGCGTGTAAGAACTAATATTTTTCTTTCATTAAGGTGTGAAATATCCAGTCTTTAAGTGATCACGCATGAACCCTGCTTCTGGGTCCAAACTACTCATTTGTGTTTTTACTGTTGTGTTTTTAACATGTTTTAATGCTTTGTATCTCGTTCTATTCCATCTGAACAAGCGCCTTAAAAACCAGTTTGTAATCTCTTGGTTTTTATTACCACTATTCATTTAAAAGCTCAGTTTTTAAAACCTTACAATGTAACTGCAGTCCAGCAGTAAATCAATGACTAACCTCGTGTTGTGGATGGATTATCTCAGTTCTTCTCCTGACTGAAGTTTGGTCCGTTTACAGCATCCTGCCATGTAATTGCATTTGTCCCTATCCATTGGGAACCCTGTTAACTTTTATCGAGCGGAAAAAAGTTAGCAATGTTCCTCCAGCTTCATTGTGCTAATGTGTTTTTATTTTGCTAACCATAGCTGTGTTGCTAGCGATCACTTAGCACATCATCATATACCAGCTAGCCCAACTTCAGTAACTCTACAAAACATCACAGCTGTTTAGATTTTGTCTTCATTTATGTCGGAAGTGAAAGCAGACCTGTACGTAGAAATCCCTCAGTCAGAACATCATATATCATCTTTAGATGGAAACTAGCGAGCTAACGCCCTGCTAACGTCTAACTCCGTTAAACGTAATAAATTCTGTTTTGCTGGATACCTGAATTTTAAGTTTAATTGTAAACCTGATAGAGCGGCCACACTGATTATGTTTTTTAATGATGAAGAATTTAGACAGTTTGTAGCTCTCAATGATGCTGCCGTGTTCGTTTGATTTTGGGACCAGAAGCAGAGTTTGGAACCAGAAACGGATAATGACGTCAGACTTAAAGACCGGATTGGGAGGAGCATTTTTAAATCGAGTGTTTGTAACATGTAGCTTACTGCTAATTGCACCAATATTTGCATCCAATCAGAACAGGCCTTGAGACTGTTTTTTTACTGCTTTGTATTACTTGGAGACTACCAAAGCAATAACGGGCCACTTTTCAGAGGGTTGACTTTTTTTCTTTTTCTTTTTCTTTTCTACAGTTAGATCACAGTTCTGAGTAAGTCTGTTTAGTAGTTGCAAACATTGGTGCGCTAAAATAATAGAGGATATTGTATATACAGTTTTGTCTAAACTAATGTGAGATTTTTTTTTCAAAGCAGCAGAATGTTAAAGAATGATGAAGCTCTGAAAGTCTCATTTTAAAAACTGATAATCTATCAGCTGTGAATTGAGCCAAACCTCCTTACTTGCACTCCTTTCATGTACAGAATCAGATGTAGCTGTTCACAAAGTCTCAGTGCCAAACTGAAGACAGCATGAAATGCACCCACCTTAAACTGCAAGTAAACTGTCCAGATAGAAATGAATAGTGGTAATAAAACAGCAGGAATACATGAGTCAGAACCCAATTTGGGTCTTATTGCGTGAACTGGAGGGAAAAAAAGAATTGTGCATATAATTTAAGGAAAAGCACATGAACTGAAAAAAGGTGCAGATAAAATCAGTAATACTGTACTGCATAAAAAACAGATGGATAAATAAATACATGAGACCAGCACACTTGAAAAGAAACTGTTGCTCTCCTCATTTAAAGACATTTTTTTTCCAAGATGTAAAAGAAAAGCTGTATATGTCAAGCAAGCTTTACATATAAAATCAGTTTGCGTTGGGGGTGTGGTGGCTAAAGAATGAATGGCTGACCAGGTATATCATATATCATATGACCCTTTCTGAAAACGTCTAGGTGCTTGAGCATAAAAAGCTGTTATAAAAATGACCAGTCATCTGATCTCAGCCCAAGAGAGCATGCTTTTCAGGTACTGAAGACAACTCCATAAACAAGCAGCCTCTGAAGGTGTTAACGACCCACCAGAGCATCTCAAGGGAGGAAACACAGAATCTGGTGATGTCAGTGGGGCAGGCATTCATTAACTGCAAAGGATTTTCATCCTGGCACTAAAAATAACCCTTTTATGTAAAATGATGTTTGTCCAGTTACTTTTGAGGCTCTGAAAATTTGGGACTATGTATAACAGTGACTGCATTTACTAAATATTTAATTGCTGTATCTCTTTGGCAAAATCCCTTGAAGTAAGTTGAAAGTCTGCACTTCAGTGCAGTGGCTGTTGTAGGACAAGCATCTTTTAGCCAGCCTGCATTTTTCTTTTACTGGTTGTGTATAAACATATTGTACACACTATATTTTATTAACACTTATCAATTGTATTTCTGATTTATTGCTATGTGCCAGTTAAATACTTTGTGCTATTTTATGTTTTTACCCCTGTGCCCCTTCAAAACCCTGGCCACTTTTCATCTGTGGTGAGTATATGTGTTATTTTTGCCACTTTTAGTTGCTGTTAGCTGGTATTAACTTTCTTTGACGTGGATCTTGTTGGACTTGAACACTTAAATAAACTGTCATACGATGTGAGAATGCAATCAAACTGTTTATCAGAGGGAAAGTGTGACTTTTAGTATACTCAAGCCTAACATTAGTTGACTATTGATGTGGTTTAGCCCGCTGACATCATCAGGAATAAATAAGCATGTTTATGCACATTTCCATCTGTTAGAGCCTTGACTACAATCCAAGAGATAAAGCCTAAGGGGAGGACGAAATGGATGACATTTTGTCGACAATGCATAGCCTCTTTCCTTCATGTTTCCTCTTCTTTAATTCAATTCTGTTCATTTTATATATTTAATTGTAAGGGCACCCTTTCTCAGATGATGAAACATGGGTATAATCCTTAATATCTTGAGGCTGAAGGTGCACAAATTAAAATCGGTCTCCACACAAATGCCTGTCAGTTCTTTTCTGCCCTACCTTTTAGTTACAACATATGAAGCCAGTCTAGCCATGCATTTCGGCAGAAGGCCAATCTTAATTTTAACACTGAGGCTTCCACAACCCAACGGCTGCTCCTTTGCATTTTTAAAGGATTAACTCTAAGTATGTGAGAATCCATCAGTTTGTTGGAAGCTCTAATTAATATATATTTGTGACTACAACAACATTTTTTTTTATGTTAAATATCCTCAAAAAATTACTGACGCGTGTTTAAACAAAGAACCTCCCAATAAAATGAAAGGGTTTTTTGTTTTTTTGTTTTTTTTTTTAATTATGCATTTGGTGTTCTTTTGGGAATAAAATACAGATTCATGAGATTTATGATAACGATAATAATAGTAAAGTTTATTTGTATAGCACTTTTAAGAAAAGAGTTTTTCAAAAAAACAAAGAGGTTATAAATCTTCATTTCAGAAGAATATAAAAAATGTAAATTATAGAGAAGTTAATTTTCACTTAAACATTAAGTACAATGTCAAAATTGAAATAAGACACAATTTGATTAAAATTTTAGTGACTGAAATTGTATCTTAAATTAACAGAAAAAATTAAGCTAATACAATAAGATGGGTGTATATATACAAATATACATAAATGTACATGTGTATACACATTGATCAGGCAGGACATTCTATAACTTGGACTCGCACTGGTTTTTATGGGAGCAGGAGTTCTAGTGTATATTCATAGGCCAGGCCACAAAGTGCTTTAAATATAATAGGTAAAATCGTAGCATCTGTTCTGAAAAATGTTGCAAATCATTGCATTATCTTGTTATTTACACCAGACACAGTGTCCCTGGTCTTTTCAGAACTGGACTTCTAAAATCCATTGTGGTGGTGTACAGAGGCAAATTAGAAAAACTGTACCACTGTCTAAGTACTTAGGGACCTAAGCGTATAAAGTATATGTTTAACTGGAGGGTGTTTTGGAGCACATTATCTGTTATCTAGAAGAAAAAAATAAAGAAAGCCTTGGTACTGTTTACATCCCATTTGTGCTGGTCATTAAATGCCAACAGAAACCTGCTTGAGGTAAATCGGGTATTGACCTCAACTGACTGTTTTTGTGGGTGTCCCAGCAAAGAACAGTGAGTAAGTTGTGGGTGGCTCAGCAAGATTTAATGATAGCAGAGGAAAGG